GGCAGGTGACCCGCGTGGGACCTCCGTCTACCTGTCTGCACAATGGGGTTAGTAAGAGGCTCTACCCCCAGGAGAACGGGACTTAGAGCAAGACAGCTTGTGGAACAGTGTCTGGCACAGGCTAAACACATGGAACTATCAGCCACTGCCGTTACCTTTGACTGTTCTCTGTCGGGAAGGCCTACTCCTGGAAGGAGGTGGGAGGCCGGGCAGGCCCGGGAGGCAGTCAGGGGTGCAGGCCGGGCTGGGAGGCTGGGGAGGGAGGTGGTGAGGGCTGAGCCGGGAGGAAGCCTGGTGCACTCTCCCAGCCCTGGAGCCTCCCTGGTGGGGAGGGGGCAATTTCACATGGAGTCCACTGGCACCTGCCACTGCAGGCCAGCCACCCCACTCTGCCCCACACCCCGAGTGGAGCCAGACCTGCTGCTGACTGTCCCTCAGTGCTCTAGACCAGCACTGTCCATGAGCACAATCTGCGGCGACCGAACTGTGCTAGATCGGCGCCGTCAGGCACGGCGGCCATGGGTGGCCAGTGAGCACCTGCACCGTGGCTAGGGCGCCAGAGGCACTGGATTCGTGTTAAGTTTCAGTGAACTTTAACTTCAGTAGCCACCTGTGGCCGGACCGCAACGCTGTAAAAACACAGACTCCCCCAAGTGATCTCTGAGCTGAAGGCAACACCGGCAAAAAGTCGGCCGGGGTTGCTCGTGGGTCTTACTAAGCGGATTCCAAAATTCACATGGAAGAATACCCACCCAAAAGAGCCGAGACGATTTTTAAAAAGAACAAAAGAGGGGGTTTTGCCCTCATAAGAAAACATGTGAAAACCAAGTCTGATGCTCGTGGAGGAACGAACAGGTCCTGTAACGATTAATGTGGAGCTTCGCAAGCATCTTCGTTCTGTTCCCTGATCTGTCCCGGGCCCCTAAAACACTGCCTGGTGTGTTGCAGGCGCTCAATAAATAGCTGCTGAATGAATGAAAAGGTCCCATTCATGTAGGAATTAGATGGAACTTCAAGTCAATGAAGAAAGGACAGACTGTTGAGTAAATAGTTTGGAAACAACTGGCTAATCTTTACAGAATAATAAAAGTTGGGGTACGCCTGGGTGGCTCAGATGGTTGGATGTCTGCCTTCAGTTCAGGTCAAAATCCCAGGGTTCTGGGATCGAGTCTCGCGTTGGGCTCCTTGCTCAGCGGGGAGCCTGCTTCTCCCTCTGCCTGCCGCTCCCCCTGCTTGTGCGCTCTCTGACAAATAAATAAGTAAAAAATCTAAAAAAAAAAAAAAAAGTTGGACCCCTCATCTTGTGTGGTTCTCCAAAACAAATTTCAGCTTTAAGTCCTAAAGGGCATGCAAATACACTAAATAAAATATTTTTAAAACTATACTTATGATTTGGGGCAGAGCCCCTTTTAATTATTATTATTATCACTGTATTGATCATTTGGGGCAGGCCCCTTTTAATTATTACTATTTTTATTATTATTATTTTTAAGTAGGCTCCATGCCCAGTGTGGAGCCCAATGCAGGGCTTGAACTCACGACCCTGAGATTGTGACCTGAGTTGAGATCAAGAGTTGGACACCTAACCGACTGAGCCACCCAGGTGTCCCCATGGGCAGAGCCCCTTTTATTTTATTTTTTTAAAGATTTTATTTATTTATTTGACAGAGAGAGAGACAGAGAGAGAGCACAAGTAGGCAGAGTGACAGGCAGATGGAGAGGGAGAAACAGGCTCTCTGCTGAGCAGGGAGCCAGATGTGGGGCCTGATTCCAAGACCCCAGGAGCATGACCTGAGCCGAAAGTAGCCGCTTAATGGACTGAGCCACCCAGGCGCCCTGGCAGAGTCCCTTTTAAAATAAAAAACATGAAAAGCCAAAGAAACAAAACAAGAAAATACGAATTTAGCTAATTAAAATCTTCCTGTACAGCATGGTGACTGTGCTTAATAATACTGGATTGTATATCTGAAAGTTGCCAAGACAGTAAATCTTAAAAGTTCTCATCACAAGGAAAAAAAATTCTAACTATATGTGGTGAGGGATGGTAACAACTTCTTGTCATCATTTTGCAATATACATAAAAATTGAATCATTACCTTGTACATCTGAAACTGATGTTAGATAGCAATTATCTCAATTTTAAAAACACAAAAAATTAAAAAACTTGTGTTAGATGAAAGAGCACAAAGTTAAAAGACATATATATCTGAGAACCACTGAACTGTATACTTTATAAGGGTGAATTTTACAGTATGTGAATTAGATCTCAAAAGAAAAAAATTTTAAAGACAAGTGACAGAAAGAAAATGTTTATAATTACAAAGGATCAATATCCCCGACAAATAAAGAACTACTAGTAAATCAACATGACAAATAACCTGAGAGAAAAATGAGCAAAGAATATGAACTGGGGGCGCCTGGCTGGCTCAGTTGGAGGAGCATGCAACTCTTGATTTCAAGGTTGTGAGTACAAACCCCATGTTGGGTGTAGAGATTACTTAAAAAGGGGGAGGGGCCTGGGTGGCTCAGTTATTAAGCGTCTGCCTTAGGCTCAGGTCACGATCCCAGGGTCCTGGGATTGAGCCCTGCATCGGTCTCCCTGCTCTGTGGGAAGCCTGCTTCTCTCTCTCCCACTCCCCCTGTTTGTGTTCCTTCTCTCGCTGTGTCTCTCTCTGTCAAATAAATAAAATCTTAAAAAAAAAAAAAAAAGAAGCTGGGAAATGCAAACTAAAATGACCAAGAGACAACTATGTCTACCCTTTGATTAGGGTGGGGAGAGAACACTGAGTGTTGCCAAGCATATGGGAGAAAGAGGACCTCTCAGAACCACAGGCAGAAGAGAGGAAATGGGTAGAGCCCCCTTTTAAAGAGTAAGTTTCCAGTGAAAAACTTGCCTACCTAATTCCGCTTTTAGCTAGCTTCCCTACAGACTCTCTTGGGAGTGTATGTAAAGAATAGATCCACACTCCTTGTCATCTATGGTTGGTAGTTATGAAGAAGTGGAAGCAAGTGGCCATGTCAGTAATATGGATAGCCACACCAGGGACCACTACACAGCAGCAGGCGGGAGGGGGAGGGAGGTGGCCCATGCACACTGACGGCGGAGCAGGGGGGTGGGGGGGATGGGGGGGGTGGAGATCTCCAACAGCAAGCCGTGCGGTGATATCTCAGTGAGATGATGTCCACAACCCCAGGCCCCAGATAACACCAGCAAGGCCACAGCGGCAGCTAACACTTGGGAGAGGACTTACTCGATGCCGGGCGCTGCTCCAAGCACTTCACATACCTGCTTCCTTCCAACTCACACCCTGCAAGGTGGACACTGTTGGGCCCAGCCCCACCGTACAGACGAAAGGCCAGGCTGTGAGCCCGGGCAGTCTGGCCCTGGAGCTGTGCTCTGAACCACAGCTGTCTGCAGTTCCGAAGAGCACACACATGCATGGAATAAAGATCTGGGAGGAGAGACTCCAAAATGACAAGAGCCAGAGGGAATGTTATCCTAACTGGAAGGCTTTCATTTTCCACGGGGAATGTATTCCTATACCGCGCACATAACTAAAAACAGAGCTTAGAGAGAATCTACACAGACCACAACTGGCTGGTGGAGGGACTGTTTTTTCTGGCCTCTACCTGTCGACCCGGCTGGGACCCCCACATCAGGACATCCCTGGAAGCTGACAGGCATGCGGTGGGCTTGGGCACTAAGGGAGCCCCCCCGGTCAGTTCGGCCCCCTGCCCAGGAGGGCCCTGGCCTGGGTCTAAGACGACTCGGGAGCTGGCTGTGCCCAGAAGCAGGTGGGAGCAGACTTCTGGGACAGAGCTCAGGATGGGCTCAGCAGAACATGGCCCTTCCTGCTCACATGCTGCTCTGGCCACAGCTCGTGCAGCGGTAAGGCTGTCCCTACGTGCCGTGAACCCTGGGCTGATGGGAGTCTCGGGAGAGAGCACCCGGGTGCTTGAGACTCATAGTTCTCAGCTGAGTGAGGACCAGTGATCCAGAGCCCCCTGGCTGCTCACATGTAAATGTCCTGTTCCCTATACCCTCCCTCTGGGACAAGCCTGAGTCCCCGAGATAACGCAGCACTCCCATTTGTAGCAGGGATGGCTCAAAAGTGCCCCCAAGCCTCCCTCCATCTCAAAGAGGAAGCAGAGAGCGGGGGAAGTGCAGCGGATGTGTGTTGGTCACCACCAGGCAGTCTGGCTGTGTCCCCAACCTTGGAGGAGTCAGCGCCAGGCTGACGTCCGATGACCCCCAATCCCAGAGGCCCTATGGATGGAAACGATGTGAAATATGAGGTTTAATAACCAGAGCCCGGCAGCGTCCCTTCCAAGGGAGTATGCGGCCTCCTCCCCTTCCGCTTGCTATTTTCAGCCGTGCTAAGAATAGCCTGCTTTAAATACCCATCTCCCTCCTTAAATCTGCTCTCAGGACTGCCCCCACAGCACCTTTCTAGAACTCCTGGTGGGGAGCGGCCACTCAACAGACCCAATTCCCACGTCTCCCAAAGGACCTTGCTGAGACATCTGTTAGCACCAGGCTTATCTGTGTCCTGCTTCCCCCGACGCGTGCCTCCGAGCCGAGCCCGCACCTGCCCTGGGAGATCTTGCTCGCACACGGACGCCATCACAGCGCCGTCAGCCTTCACATTCACATTTCCTGAGAAGCTACTCTGTGCTGGGTGCTGCTCTAGGCACCGACAGGGCCCTGAACTCCTGTCCCCGTGTTGCTTTGTCCCAGAGAAACCCCTCGTTCAGCTGCTTCTCAGCCTGTGAGCCTCTGCAATCCCCACGACAGGGCCCTTGGGAGGGGCTGGGCCCCCCACTCACCGGGTCCAGTCTCCTCTACGACAGCAGCGCCGTGCCAGGTGCTGCCACAGGCCCCGTTAGCGCAGCGTCACCCCCTCGCACATGCTCTTTTAAACCCTCGGTGTGTGCAAAGGCCCCGGGGCGTAGGAGGAAGGCCCGCCCCACTCGGTCCTGCGGGGCTGGCAGGCACTCACTTGTTGAAGAGATTGAGGCCAATGCGGTAGTGCCTCTTGCGGATGACATCGTTGCTGAAGGCGGGTGAGTCCCAGCTGTTGCGGGTCTCCTTGTGGTAGGTCTGCTTGCTGAGTGTCTGCTCCCGCAGGCTGTCGCGGGACGACGACTCAGAGCTGCAGTTGATGGTGTCGTTGGAGTTGGATGTGCTGTTGATGCTGTCGTTGTCCCCATCCGAGTAGTCGGACTCCGACTTGCTCTGCCTGTTGGCCGAGCCATTGATGGCCAGGTGGCTGTCCAGGGGCCGGGGGGGCCGGGGCCGCAGCTCCGGCTCCTCCCGGGGAAGGCTCTTGGGGGGGCCGGCCAGGGGGCCGTGCTTGGGGCTGCCCTGCGGCCCGCCCAGGCTGCGTTCGTAAGCGCTCTGCCTCTTGAGCGAGCTGCGGTCCGAGCGGTCACTGAGGTCCACGGAGCTGTCGCTGGGCGGCTCAATGGTGAGCAGCGGGAGGTGCTCCACCCGCAGCCGCTGCTCCTGCCGCTCCAGCGACGGTGTGCTCCGGCAGCTTGTGTCTGTGTCCCCCTTGTCGTCCTTGTGAGCCAGCGCCCAGTAGTCCTGCGCGGCCCCCCCGGCCCGCAGCCGCAGGTCCGACTCCGTGCTGGGCGGCCGGTGCGCCGCCTGCGACAAGGGCAGGGGCGGTGACAGCTCCTCCTCGTCGATGTACAGGGTGACGTCACTGTACGAGGCTGTCATCTCATCCAGCTTGTGGTGGTCCACGCCGTGCAGGGCCGGCTTGGGCTCGGCGTCCCGGGCCCGCCCTGCCTCGGGGGCTGGTGCCTCCTCGGCGTGCAGGCTGCGGCAGTTGAGGGCGTCGTCGATGGACTCGGCCAGTGACTTCACCTGCCGCGAGAAGGCGTCCTCCAGCTCCGTGATGGCGTCTGCGAAGTCGCTGGACGGGGCGGGAGACTTGAGGGTGGGTGGCTCGCCAAGGTCGCCGCACTCGGATGGCACCAGGGCCCCCAGCTGAGAGCCGTCATCAGTCACCGAGACCTGCTTCCCCTCGAAGTAGGAGCTGTGCACCTTCTCCGGGCCCTCGAAGGAGAACTGCATCCTCATGTTGGACAGCACAATGCGGCGCGACATGCGGTTCTCCGACATGGAGCTGCGCAGGCGCTCGAAGTTCTTGTTCATCTGGTACTGACGGAAGGCCGTCTGGATGGTGCGGGCCGCATGGCGGGTCACGAGGCGGCCCCCATACTTGCGTTCTAGCATCTCCACCTGGTCGGGGTTGGGGGGGGAAGGACAGGACATTAGTGAGTACAACCCTGTGTGCTGGAGCAGCGCCATGTCCACCCACAGTCGTGCCCGCAGCCCAGCCCCGCGGTGACACCATCCAGAAAGGCCTTGGAGCATCCCAAAGTTGGTTATGGCAACCGCGGAGGCCTGCCCGTGAGGTTGTGCAAGACAGGGGTTCCCTGGGTCAAGTAAGATGGAGAAGCCCCATGTTGAAGTGAAAGCAAGGATGTTCCCTGCAGGACTTTCCAGAACCTTTAAAAGGTGGCATGTTCCCAAATTTCTTTAACCACAAAAACCTTTGGCCCCAGTGCATCTTGTGGCCTGTGGTTTAATGAAACTTGGGAGATGCTGGATGAGGTGCAGGCAGCCCCTCCAGGGAGGAGGAACCTGAGGCACGAGCAGGTTAAGAGACCAGCCAAAGAGTTCAGTGAGATCCTGGATGCCAAGCCTTGGCTGCAGGCTTTTGGTCTCACTTCCTCTTTACAGCAGCCACCATGTGCTCTTACCAGCTGGGAGGGTGTCACTGAGTTTCAGGGAGGCCTGAGAGAATCACCTTAGTGGGGAGCAGGCTTCCAGGCCACATGCCCGGTCTCTAAGCCTGGCCCTGCCCCTCGTTAGCTGTGCTACTCTTAGCAAGCCTTGGGGCCGCGCGCTTCCTGTTTCCTCATCTGTAAAGTGGGGACGGTACTCAGCCCTACCTCGTAGGACCGTGGTGAGCACCTGATGAGACAGACACAAGTGCTTAGCACATGCCAAGCACAGGGACAGCTGGGGCTAGAAGACCTTCAGCTGCATTCCTGGAAGGTCTTTACAGTTTGTGGGGTCCCCAACTCCCCTCACTGGACAGATGGGGAAACTGAGGCCCAGAGAAGTGACCCAGCTCACAGCTGGAGGCCTCCAGACTCCAGAGCGAGCACTCATTCTGGCACCCCAGGTCCTGATGGCCCCTCTCTGTGATGAGGTACAGAGATGGGGCGGGGCTGCAGGCAGGTGGCACTGCCTGGGGCTCCCCTGTGTGACACACCAGCCTCCCAAAGCCCTGAGGCTCATGCCAGCCCTTGGTGATCAAGGACAACCCCAAGGGCTGCTAACTGTGCCTTGCTCCTGCGTGAAAACATGCCCATAAAGTGGGAGCCTACCCTGTAAGAATCAAAGAAAATTCAAGATAAGGAACTGGCTTCTCTACGAAGCCAGGGCTCTTGGGGTGTTGGGCAGAGGGGGCACCTGATGTGGGGCCAGGAGAGGCCTAAGGCCCTCAGGAGGAAGGCACGCTTGTGCCAGGGAGGCAAAGCACCACACCCTGCTTGTCTAGATCCCGCCGGCCTATGCCGTGCCGGGCATCACACCAAAGCTGGTAGCACAGAGAGATAAGGTCCCTGCCCTCAAGAAGCAAAGAGTCTGTCAGGGAGAACGGATAGACACACATACTTAACTGAAATAAAACCAAACAGATGCCGAGCAAATCCAAGCCAAGGCCCGAGTCGGGGGAGAGGGTCGCTCAGAGCCGCTGTGGGGTGGGCTGGGAACAGAGGGCTTGGAGCCCCACATACCCCAGTGCAGGTCCCGGCCCCTCACGTCCCGGCTCTGGGAGGCCACCCACGTCAGGGATGCCAGCTCTCTGGGCCCGCAGGAGAGGGAGCAAAAGGCCCGGCAGAGCAGCTCCTTTCATAGGAGGAGCGGGTATAGTGTGTGTGTGTGGGGGCGGGGGGGTGGATCAAAACGACTTTTCTGGGCCCAGAGTCAGCCAGGGTGGGTCTGTTTTTTCTCTTGCCCTGAAGTTACTGAACAACATCCAAAGAGATGACCTCACTTCCACATCTGTAAGCAGACTGTTTTTTTGGGGTTTTGAGTGGAGCTCTGAAAGCCAACGGGGCCGATAAAGGGCCCAAGGCTGAGCTCTGGGAAGCCCTCTCTCCTCTGCCCATCAAGGCCGGTAGCCTGGCCCCTGTCATGTCACCTTTGGGGGCAGTCATGACACCAGGACCACCAGCTTAGGCCCAGGGCTCACTCAGGGCTCTTTCTCTCCTGCTGACTTTGGACCTAGAAAACCAAGCAGCGACCTATTTGTCTGAGACCGGCTCCCCAAATCTGGGGGGAGGAGTTGGGGGGGGGGAGAAGAGGGACTTTGGAAAGGCAGAAATTGGCTCTGTGTTGTCATCAAATCGCCTCCCAGTCCCTCCTTCCTGGTCTTCCCTGGAGGACATAAACTGACCCAGGCCAGCTCTTATGCATCCCCCAGACTCCCAGACTCACGGTGGTCATTCCTCCTTCTGGGCCCCAATGGACCCGAGGCCCAGTCTGGAAGTTTATTGGGGTGCAGGAGAGGGAATCCAATCTGTATGTGCTCACCTGCTGTACATCACCCTCACCCGATACTCACGTGACATCCAGTCTGCAGAGGGGCTCTGGGATCCCCCTTCTCGGAGGATAGAGGCTCTGGGAAGTGATGCGGAGCTGACCTCTAGCCCTCACTCTCCCTTTAAAAGGACACTTCTCAACAGCGGGGGAGGGATAAGGAACAGAGAGGAACGCCCTTCCACAAAGCAGAACTACCACCTCTCCATGACTCAGGACTCCTGCTCTCATTGATAGGAAACCACCAGAAGGTGTGGAGGCCCTGAAGCCAAAGCGCTCCCCCTTCACTAAACGGGACTTTGTGTTCCCCAACTTTAACTCCTCGTGGAATTGTGCATCCTACTTTCACCTGGCAGTTCCCAGGTAATCTGTCCTATTCCCACTCTTGCTTTGATTGCCAGGAAGCTCAATAGCTCAGGGGCCCTCTCACCTTTTCACCACCTCTTCCTCGCCACCCTTGTTCTGCCTCAGGGCTTTTGCACCTGGCGTTACTGCTTCCTGCAAGGCCCCTTCCTCAAACACTCAGTTCAGATGCCACCTTGAGGAGGTCTTCCCCACCGCCCTTATCCAATGCTGTCACCTCCCACAATCACTCCACTTCTTTCCCCTATTTCATAATCTCTGGAGTTTGTATCATACTCTGGAATTAAACTGTTTTTATTGCTAATTTGCCTGTGGGGTCCATCTCCTGGACCAAAATGTCAGCTCAAGATCTGGGGCCTCACCCTGTCCACTGTTGACTCCCCAGCACTGAGCCCAGTGTTTGGCACACGGTGTGCATTTGGTTAATGTGCATGGGATCAAAATGAACAGCTGTGCCACAGTAAGCCCATATGAAGCAGATGGTTATCTCCATAGGCCTCTGTGAGGTCTTCAACATCCTCACTTGTTTCAACGGTTCTGCTGGAGGTCTTTTACTATCAACTGCTTCTGATCCACTTTGGATCTGGGTGTAAGTGATAAATGGAACAGAGACCACGTGGTCTTCCCCTGCTGTGGGCCTGGCCACGGAGCCAAGTGCCATGGTGGCAGGGGGGGGGCGGTATCTGCTCCCACAGCCCAACAAGGGGCCATCTGCAGAAGGATGAAGAGAATCAGGGCTGAGAGGTAGCACTGAGAACAGGGAGAGGAGGGGGCTGGTAGGGGACTTTGTCAGGGGGCTTGGGGGGAGGAAAGACCCAACGTGGGCAGTACCTGCACCACTCCTGGAAGTCAGGTGCCACATCAGGCCCAGACCTCTGCTCGGTAAAAGACAAAGAGGAAGACTGGGGAGCAAAGAGAGGGCGGCAAGGCAAGGGGTCAATGTGACCACCTAGGACTCATGAGGAGACGGCCCAGGAGCTGGGGGAGGCTGGACAGATAAGCCTGGTCCTGCACATTTGCACTGCTGCTTGCCACAGCCTGAGGTTCTCTTGAAGCCTGAAACTTGCCTTCAGTTTCACCCAAGAATTCTTATTCAAGGGCCTCCTAGGTGCCTGCACCCCTGAGGCCCTAAAAGTGAGAGCCCTTTGCCCCCCGCCCAGGGGTCGCTCATTCCCTCTGCCCCCCCACCCCCACGCAGCCAGGACAGGCCTCCCCCTCAACCCCAAGAGGCTATCTTTAGTCCTCCCCGGAGCCCGGCCAAGCGGGCAGGCTGTGCAACCTCCTCGTCCTGCACACAGGTGCCAACCGCACGGTGGGTCTGGGCCAAGGCCCCTGCGGGAGGAAGCGAGCCTTCAGCAAGGCCGTTTCCCATGAGAACAAAGAGTCGTAAACCAAAGGAGATATAATAAGCAACCTTGCCTGCTAGCTGTGGATGGGCTTGGTGTTCTTTACGGGGTGTGTGCTATTTATGTTGTAAACGGACCTCCTGCCCTTCTCGGGGACTCCTCCTGAGGACCCCCTAAGGGTTCAGGCCTCTCCTGGGACCTCAGACATTCAGTGTCTGGCCACCTCACCTGCGTGCACGGCCATGAGGACGGTGAGTGGGGCGGAGGCCAAGTCCTGACCCTCCAGTCCCTTCACTAGGGGCACCTCCGCTGGTCGGGCGGAGCAAGAAGGGGAGCCTGGGCTGAGGCGAAGGCCACGTTCCTAGCACAAGTACACTTAACCGGACTTCAGTGTGTGGGAGAGCTGAACCTCCTGCTGCTTCAGGCCGCCCCAGCAAAGGGCCCGGGCACCCACCCATCTCCAGCCAGAGCTGCCCCGGCTGCCTGTCCCTGCGCGGCGGGCCCCACCTACCTGCTTGTCCTGCAGGTCGGAGGAGAGCTCATAGCTCTCAGAGAGTGACCGCGAGCGCTTGATGGCCTCCTCCTCGGCCTGCTTGCGCAGGATGGAGGTCGAGTGCTGCAGTTTGGGCCTCCGTGTGCGCTGCTGCTGTCCCAGCGGCCCCGAGTACAGCCCATACGCTCCCACCGACGTGTGCTCGTAGCGGTCGGGGCTCAGGCTGGAAGCAGGCGCGAGGGGGCCCTGGTGGTAGGCTGACGGGCTGTCCAGCGACGTGCCGGTCTCGCTGCTGGGGGCTTCGCCCTCCACGCTGCAGGGGACGGAGAGATGAGAGAGGCCTCCTGTGAGTGGGAGACCAGAGCCCAGGGCCCAACGGGGAACCAGGAGGTGGGAGGGAGCCACGCTCAAGAGGCAGCCCCGCAGCGTCCCCCACACTGCCGGCTGGTACCTGACACACTTTACTGATTGATTTTGCTTACTGTCCGTCTCCTACATGAGAACGTCAGCTTTGCAAGGACGGAGGTTCGACCCACGATGTGCACTGATGGGCCCCAGTGCCTAGAGGAGGGCCTGGCCCGCAGTAGGAGGTGGTCAGTGAAAATCTGCTAACCAACTAAATGGATCTGGTCACCCTCTCTCCCTCACTCCCACCACCTGGGTTAAGTAAACCACTGATTTTTGTATTTTTGTTCTTATTTTAAACAGACATTCACAAAAGTGACTCTTTTACTATATACCTACTTAAGGGTCAGGCACTGGAGGGTTTTTTATAGGCTGAGCCATGTCCCCCCAGAATTTATATCTTGAAGTCCTAACCCCCAGTACTTCAGAATGTGGAGGAGACAGGGTCTTCAAAGAGATAGTTAGGTTAATGAGGTCCGTCAGGGTCCTGATCCAACGTCACTGGTGTCCTTCTAAGAACAGGAGATTAGGGCCCAGACACGCACAGAGGGATGACCACGTGAGGACACAGGGAGAAGGTAGCCTTCTGCACACCAACGAGAGAGGCCTCAATGATATCAGCCCTGCCGACACCTTGATATTGGACTTCGGGCCTCCAGAACAGTGAGAACAGTGAGAAAATAAATGTCTGTTGTTTAAGCCGGCCGGTCTGTGGTCCTTGTTACAGCAGGCTTGGGAATGAATACAGTGTTGTACATACATTTTTTTTTTAAATCTTAAAACTAGTCTGCAAAGAAAGAATTACTAACTCCCCTTTTCCAGGTGGGGAAACTGAGGCCCACAGAAGTACAGGGACCTGCTTGTGGTCGCACAGGTAGTGAGTGGGTGAGTTGAGATCAAAGCCCAAGTTGGTGGGACTCCAAGACCTGGCGGGGGGGGGTGTGCACCCCTCCACCTCGCTGTGCCTCATTCCCAGGACACAGACATCCCTCTCAACATTCCAAGCGCCAGACTGGGGGGGACAGAGAAGGACTGGATGGCTTACTCATCCCAAAGTCAGGAACTCAGAAAATGGACATTGGTTCCTGCTGCAGACTCCTTTTTAGTATAGCACAAAGAGGCAAGGTTGTTTCTAACACGGCTTCTAGTAGCCTCTCTGGTCAAGCCTTGCCATCTCCCTGTCCCTGCAGGGTATCACTCAACCTTTAAAGACCCTCTATTTGATCCCTAGGGCCAGGGCAGGGGGTCTCTCTGGAAGGGGCCCAGAGGAGAGAAGGGAACATTGCACCCCTTCCCAGGCTGCGGTCCTTCCTCCACAGTCCTGTCTTCAGACCAATGGGAACACCCTGGGTGCAAAAGCCTTGGGGCCAACTGGTCTACCCCCTGCCCAGCTCTGCTTCCAGTCACATCACAAGGCCTGGCAGGGCTGCCCTGTGAGCATAGAATGTGACTGTTTACAGACTCCTGGGAGAGACAGACTCAGAATGGGGGCAGAGGGAAGCAGCCTGCCCTGTGGTTCCAATTCTGCCCCGAGCCAGGGATGGGCTGCAAATCCCCGTGCTTGCCTTCCAACTTGTAGTTCAAGAATACTGTAGGACTTCCGCTCCACCAACTGGCTCTGACCTCTGAGGACATGCAGTTGGTGTCCTGTGACAAAGGACATCCCATCCTGCTCCCCAGAAGCTAAAGTGTGACAAAGTGACAAAGGTCTTTCCTTGGGGAAGAGCTCTGGGTGCTTTGCCTTGATCTGGCTGCGAATCAGGGTGGGTCACCCCTCATTTCAAGGCCTGTCTCCCTGTCCATTATCCATGTGGGATGGACTAGATGCTTTTAAGGTGTCAGAGGAATACCCACCCTTCAAGACTCTCCTGACATCACAGTTACCCAAGAGCAGTTTCCTCTGGGCCCCCTGTATATGCGTCGGGTGGGGGAGAAGGATGGGGACCAGCAGAGCTAAAAATTCTCTCATTCTTTTGATAAAGCTTTGAACAATACTTGACAATAAATACTCGGTGGCTTGATCAGTAGTTGTATGAAAGAGAGAGGGAATCCCCCTATCAGACCTGCAGGCAGTCGATAAGCAAGCCCACCCACGGACAGCCAACCAAAAGCCCCTGCCTTCACTCTGGCCCCATACGCCTCCCTGCCTCACCTTTTCTGTGCAGCCTGTGAGCATCTCATAAGGAAGTATTTCCACACACACACATCCCCCATACTGGAAATGCTTTAGTCAGGGGCAGAGTCTGTTTTTCCGAGCAAGAGGCTGACAGGAAACAAAATCTCATCCTTGAAGACAAGCAGCCGGGGCTCTGCTCAGAAGGTTTTAAAACAGTCTCAAAACCACGAGTTTACAGAAACATGGGGAGACTGAAGGGCAATCCTCAGAGCAGGAAGCCCTTCCGTCGTGCCTCATGGTGGCTCTGTCAGGGAGTGGTGGGCTGGGACCCTCGTCGTACTGCCCCAACATGCCCCGGGATAAAGGAGCAGTGTCCACCTCTCATGTCTGTGGGGGATTCAACCCCCTACCTAGGCCTTGCTCACTGGGCCTCAAAGTAAGTGAACAGGCAAAGGCGCATTCTTCCTGATAGTGGTGGGGATGGGGCAGGGGTCAGTCTGTGAATTTGAGGGGTTGTCATCATTACCTGACGGCTGTGGTTTGGGGCAGAAGGGGCTGAGGAAAGAGAAGCAGGTGACAAGCTACTGAACTCAAGGGCTGTATGTTGCTTGGTAGTGGGGAAGAGCCTGGCTGCCTCAATGGCTGGGGACATGAGCAGGATGTCAGCGTGGGTCATGACATGACAGGAACAGAGGTGGCTGGTGGGTCGTGACCTGACAGGGACAGAGGTGGCTGGTGGGAGGCAAGCACTTTCTGGGGCTGTGCCAGTCCAGGATTCCGGCTCTGGGCATTACCTGGCTCCCAACTGTTTTAAGCCAGCAGGTTCTAGAACATGCTAGAGAGAGAGGGCCAAGCCTCCCCTCAGAGCCAAGGGAAGGGGTCTGACAGTCACCTGCAGCCTTTCTCTTCACCATGACAGCAACTCCAGTCTCCTCTCCCCTATCGGCCCTACCTTGCAAACACACCCAGGCTCCGCCCACTTCTTGGCAAATGGCTCAGGTCACCATCCCTGCTCCCTGGATTATCACAACAGCCTCCTCAATGGTCCCCCTGCCTCTCTCTTCCCCAAGGCTGCCACTGTGACTCTGATAAAACGTAAGATTGAGTGCCTCCCCTGGTCCCATCACACTTAGAAGACCCTGTCCTTGCAATGTCCTTGAACGCCTGACCTCGGCTGCTCTCATCTTGGCTCCTTCCCTGCCTTGCTCATTCTGACTTCCTGACTCACTGGCTTCCTTTCTCTCTGCTCAAAGGGTTCAGGCATGCTCCTGCCTCAGGGCCTTTGTACCGGCTCTTCTCTCTGTCTGGAACACTCTTCCCCAGATCTCTGCCATCACCAGATTTAAAATCACAGCTCCCTCCCCCTCAAGATTCCTGGTCTCTTTCTTTGCCTTTTTTTTTTTTTAAATCTTTGATGATCATCATCACTTCAAAACATGTAATATATTTATCCTGTTTTTTGGTTTGCTGTCTCCCATGTCACTATATAAGTTCTAGAAGGATGGAGGTAATTTGTCTGTTTTGCTTACTGATGTTTCCCAAGTGCCAACACATGTGCCTGGCTAACAGTGCTCAGTAAATACTTGCCAAATGAGTGAAGGCACTTCCCCATGCCTGCTGTTGGCTGGGTCCTGGAACAGCTTCTTGCATCATCCCTGCCAGACCTCCTATGTGCCCCAAACCAAACTCGTGATCTTTCTCCATTGTCATGCAGTGACCCGAAGCCAGGATCCTGGGCATCATCTCTTCAGTCCCTCCCCCACCACCAGCTCCCGCCCCTGCCCCATTCAGTCTGTCACCAAGTCCTGTTGAATCTACATGAACCGTATCCCCTTGACTGGTACAATGTGGCAGGCCTTCCACCCCACCAAAATCACCACCAGCCTCAGACCACCCTGATCAGAACCGAAATGGCCAGGCCAACTTCCTGCAGCCAGCATGACCCCATCACAGACATTGCCCCCCAGTACAGGAGTGGACAAAAGTGAGAAATGCATGAGTGCTTGCATGTAGCTTAAGAACCCACCGTAAGCCAGAAGATAATCAGAAGCTACACACTATTAGACATAAAAAGAGAGTCTTGAAATCTGCACCAGACAGCTGGTTCACAGAAATATCATTTTTGTCAAGTGAAAATGCCCAGTGTTGACGAGTATGGGCAGCAACAGGCATTTCAGAAGTCTAAATTGGTATAACTTTTTCAGAGTACTAGCTAGAAACCGCTATCAAATCCACTCGATTTGGCAGAGGCTCTGGCAGAACCCATAAAGATGCTTTACTTACAGCAACACCCTGGACCCCGAGCCCCCCCTGTCCTGCTTAGGACTCAGCTCTGCCCCCAGTTCCTTCCTGGGGGAGTGTGAACAGAACAGTCATCTTCTCCCTCCCCACAGCAGATCAGACACCCCATAGATCTTTGCTTTATATGATGTCCACGCCTGACACAGCAGGGAGTTGGGGGTCAGGGAACCACCAGCCCTGGCCCAGCAACCCCTCCGGCCCCCCTTGCTGCCACCCAAGCCTCCTGCACCAGCAGCCCACCCTGCACACTGCTTCTTCACCACAGTGATTTCCTGGCTGGAGCTCAACGTCTCATCACCCAGGTCAGTTCCCTTGGGGAAGCTTCTTCCACAACCTTTGTCCATCAGCCAGGCCTGAACACTGTAGTGGGTCCTAAACCACACAATGGCATTCGTGGTCTCTCTCAGAGGCCCGGGCCATATGCAAATCAGGGAGTGGGGCGGGCACCTGTTCCAAGGGCCTGACAGTCCCTGACAGTTTAGAGTTTCTGG